CCCCAAAACCCCAAAACCCCAAAACCCCAAAACCCCGTATGAATTATCGAATAGTTGCTTAGTGTATTCATTTATGAAATTAATTTAATGATCTTAGACATCATTATAAATATGTTAAGATATAAAACGGATTTTGAATATTAAATAAATGCGGAATGCTCACCATTCTTCTGCTTTTTCAAGGTTTTCATCATCTTCAACAGGCATGCTTTTCTCCATGTTGAAGTCTGGCAAACTGCTAATGAAATCAGTGCTAGGCTTCAAATGGAGACTCTTTTTCCATTCCTCAAACTCCTCCTCGTTCCTTATGAAATCCTTCAAAGCACTAAAGAATATGTGAATATATATGCAAGTATTTACTGTTTGATATAAACTCTGAGTTCCTTTGGAATACACTCAATTATTTTGGCTGATTTATCTGTTGAACTGTCAGAACTTATGTCAATCATGAAATTTTCTCTAGATAATGACTCAGTATTGTTTATTTGGTTTGACTAAGCCATCATGAAACTAGCACTTTATAATTAATTGAAACTCTTAGAGCTTGACTTGTTGAATTCATCCTATTGATTAAAGTATTGCTCCAGCACCAATATCTCTTTGATTTTTCTTCTGTAGACGTTGTGATCTCTGATGAACTATATTATTTATTAAGAGTACTTGAAATGCTTACTCCTTAAAGTATTTAAGTTTATTGGCTATTTCTTCCAATTAACACTTTATCATTTGCAGAACTGCTATTTTATAAAGTAGGCATGTCTATTTGGGCATCAAGATTTGTACTCATTACTGTTGTCTTCTGAGTAATGAAATGATGTCTTCCAAGTTCACTGATTCTACTATTTCTCAAATTAATTTATCTATCAAAAGCCTCAACAGCGTCATTAGGATTTTACTCTAGAATTTGTTTATACTGTTTGATGCTGTTTTTAATAACATCTAGTGACTTCTATCTGCTCATCCTAATATGTTCCTTCTGAACCAATGAACCACTGCTCTACAATGTTTGAGATTCCTCTTTGAAGCTTCTAACGAATGACTATTCCATCATCCCTAGATAGCTAGTGGTTCTATGGAAGTAGGCATACTCAATTTGATAAAGAAGTAAGGACATGAAGACATCTCTAACTGTATAAGACCATGAGAAGAACAGTTTATAGAAGAACTTAGATAATACTTCATTGATGATGAAACTTCTCTGGTCAATTGGCAGGAAATGCAGAGTTTTGTAGAGTACATACATGGTTCTTGGGATTGTTATAGAGTGATCTATCTCAAGTGAGATCAAAATGCCCTTAAAAAAGAATGGGAAGTCAAAGTTAGAAGGGAATTACAATCCCATTCTTTCAATTTGATTAATCCATTTTAGGACTAAAGACATTGTTGACTGCAAGGTTTCTGAATCATACGCATTAGTCTTCAAGAATACAATCTGAACAAAGACTGTGAGCAAGGAACTATTGTTGATTAGAGCGAGAGTGGCGTCAATCAATGGATCTGGGTATTCATTCACAGGTCTAGTTTTCATCTCTATTATTATAGACTTTAGAATGTATCTATATCCTGGAATGTCCTGCCAAAATAGAGAATAAGTTTGCACAGTCTTCTAAATGAATTCAGACCAGTTCCTGATGATTTAGAAGTAGGCAACTGATCTTTTCTTGATTCTGGTCTGCCATTTTTAGTTGACCTCTACTCGTCTCAGGCATCTGTTTGCGTCTTCAACTTCAGGTGAGGTAGGGATATGTTGGAAAAAGTGCAGTTACCAGTCGAATAGTTTAATTAAGCCTTGATTCACATACTCACTCTTGTCATTCAAATCCCAATTCACTCCTTTCCACTCTTGAATGAACATCTCCTGGTCTTCATTTTTCAGACACTCTAGGAATATAGTTTAGAACTTAGGCACTCTGAAAAATCCAAGAGAGATCTGATTCTCTAAATATGATCTCATGTATGGTTCAACATCTTTCCGGCAGAATTTGGTGAGACAATCATCAAGTGTTTAGAACAGTAGCTTTTAATAGAACTAGGCTACTTTGATCTTTTCTTGCTTGATCTTTTCAAATGGCAGATTAGAGTTGCTTTCCTTGCTAGATTCCGTTTATTACTTATTATTGCCAGTACTAGACTATTGAAGCATATCACTAGACAGTGCTAGATGGTTGAGCTTGAGTTCTCCTCTGTTCATAATAAACTAAAGGATTTCATAGTAGTCGCGCTTAAACTCATATCTCACATTCTCAGCAAACATAAGACAATGGAAAGCTAGCTCAATTAAGGCATACTGCCCACGAATGAGGTCTAATTCATCTTGGTACTTGAAGATCGAGGAGTTCACATGCTTGTGATCGTCTTTGATTAATACCTAGATATCGTGCAATATTTTCTCTTTTTCATTGTTTTATTTTGATGCCATTCTAGCTTTCTACTTTTGAATGTCAAGTTTCTTTAATTGCTGTGTCAAGTCGATTAGCTATGTAATTTTCTCATTTTTCTGAGATCTCTTCATAGAATTAATGATACTGCCAGACTCACCATCTTATATGAGCATTGGTATCTGATTCATCACTATGCCCTTTTCTGTTAAGATCCCGAGAGCCATCTATTGCATAATAGGAATGTTAGTCACTTTGAAGTTTCCCTTGATTGAGCCAATTACCTTGCCCATAAACCAAAGCTGCTCTTAAAAGGACTTCTTCTCGTTTTTAGCTTTCTTAGAAGGATTCTCTGATTAAGAGAGTGAGAACTCAAGTCTGGCTTTAGCACCACCATTATACTCGCTGTTGCCTTTTGACATAAAACTCTGACTTAAGTTTTACTTATAAACGAAACTCATCTTGTTCTACAGTATAAAAGATTCCTTTCTCTCATACTGTCTGTACTCTGATTGCAACAACTTTGAAAACCCTAGGTAGCACTCACCTACTAGATCTGTCTCAGTTGCAAGTCTGTCATCAACTTTGCTGTAGGATTTGTAATAGTCTTTGGCCTCTGTCATGACATTGCCATTTCTCTGCATATTACTTTTTATGGACCTTGACCTTCTCATATCTCCAGTTACTGGACTACTGTCTCCATTTTAGTTAAGCACAGACTTATTCTTTGTAAGTTCAAGGAACAGATTACTTTTCTACTCAAAATTCAGCAGCACTGACTAGTTTCTATTCTTTTAGTTCTATGGAGAATAAGGTCTTATACGATCGATCGTTTCCTCTTTGGGAGCCATTAAAAAATGTTCACTTGGCTTATCTTGGAATGTTTGAGACTCGTTGTTTTGCGCTAGGTCTTCAATAATGAAAGGCATATCTTCCTAACCATCTTAGGCATTAGACTAGTCCTCAGATAATCTGGATTTTCTATTCATAATTTCCACCTTTTCAAGAACCCTCGCTTTTTGTTAGTCTGTATAAGTTCCATCAATCTTCACAAGCAATTGTAGTGTACTATTCTTGAGACTTTCTAAACTGACTTCTTATTGAACAGCTTGCGTCTCAAAAAGGTTATCTGAGTGCTTCCATTTGAAATGTGTTTAATTTTTATCTTTCTTAAACTTACCCGTTTATGTTGCTGTTGGCTCACTGATTTTCGGGATGTCATTATTATGCATCGCTTTGAATTAAGTATAAAGTGGTCTATCTTCTTTATGATTGAACTTGCAAGTTAAGTCATGCAAATCCACTTCAATCATTTATAATTAGGCTACACTTATGTCGAAAAAGATTCGACCCATTGGTTTTCCTGATCTGTAGTCACGAAGTTCAAAATCACAATGCTTTGGGCCGATAGCGACTGCCAAGAATTCAATCATCAAATAGGATATTGGTTGGTCTAGCTGCTTAGTAGAGAATATTTCCTTAAAAAATAAAGTAAATGGATTCCAAAAATACAATTATTAGATTTTTGTCCCAGATTGTTTCAAATCTTGAAGTAATGCTAAAGCTATTTTCCTCAATGATCTAGTGGCCAAATATGAATTGCACATTAATAAATTACATTTACTGCCCCGTTTTTCTCGACTGGGTATCCTTTTGACTGCCATTTCGTTTCAGCTTACACCTCGATCTAAGGTTGTGTCGTCCTTTCACCCAGAAAATGTGACTTCATATCATAAACTCTTTAATTTACTTCTTCGATTGCTTTGGACTTTCTATTCTCTCTAGGCATCAGGAAGTCCTCATTGATCTCAGTCTTAACAAAAATTTCATCTTTCTACAATAGTATTGGTACTCGAATATTATAGGTTACAATAGTCAATTCATATAGTCTCAAGCTGTGAAGATTTATGCTAAATGAGTAAAATTCCTGGGGATCAAGCGATGCTAAATAGTTTATCTCATCAGCTGCATCAGAGAATGCCTAGTCTAGTGTTACTTTGGTATATCTATCGATTCAATAAAGATCAGGAAAGATTTACTTGCTAATATTGTCAACTGAGTTGAGCTATCCATTTTTGTTCTGTCCCTACCCTAATGCATTTTAGGACTCTTTAAAACAGTGATAACAATTTCCCATTAGTCTGCTTATAATTAATGCTCTGAATATGAATGATCTATTAATAATATAAATTCAAGCGTTTATTACATTTTTTAAATGTTTTTTCTTCAAGAATCAATCCACTATGATGGGGTTTTGGGGTTTTGGGGTTTTGGGG